TTTTATTTAAACATTTTAGCATTTTAAAAAAGTAAATCAGAACTAAAAAAGTGCAAAAATGCAGGCAAATTTGCCTGCGTTGGTCTATATATTAAGGGATAGATAAAAAAAGAAAAAAAAGTAAGAAGATTGAAATTTCACTAGAACAACTAGGACAACTGGGACAGGTATTTTAAAACTCTTTCATTCAGCTTGAAATTATCGACAGGTATATTTTTTTCTATCCTACTTTACGTCACAGAAAAAAATTCATCCTAATTGGAACTTCGAAAAATATAGATATCCTGCATACCACACATATATATATTAATTTTCCTTTACCTCAGATAATGCAGAGCATCGAGGAAGCTGAGCTTTGAGTCTTATTGTAGAACAATGGCACTTATGCGTCTGACTCATCTCTGATTCCCCGTCTTGTACCATCTTCTCCAGCTTTTTTGCTAATACCGATCCGTCTTCGATATTTATCTGCATGAGTATTACAGTAGTCATAACCAAAATAGGTCAACTTACCACATTCTTTACAAGATACACGTGGTGGAGAATCCCAGTAAACTTTACACCCTTCAGGCTATAGCAACCTCGATTGCAAACTTTTTCAGTTCTAAGAATATAGGAACAACAATAAAATGCCATGTTTATATGATTATGATATAATAATTATTATCTATTCTTTAGAATTAATTTCCATTTTTTCCAGAACAGTATACTAGCAGTAAAATATACTTACTATGAGTACCCAAAGTGAACACAATACACCCACCCTACCATTGACAGATGCAATCAACATGTCTGCACCTCTTGTACTGATCCTTGAAGACTTGGAGCAATGTGGCGATACTTATGTAACAGGGAGCTTTGAGCTAGAGATAGAGGAAGAAAATAGTGGGCGTTGTACCACCGGGGGTTTAAAGCTTTTCCTCAATCAAAGATTTCAGAAAACAAAAAGGCAGAACAATTACTTCAATACTTATTTTACTATTTTGATGGTGATTATTTAGGAATCCCAACTCGCAATGATATAGTTGCAGAAAATGACGAGGGTTTGTCTGCAATTCTCAATAATGCTTTAGCTAAAAGAGAAAAGATCTCTTTTATGGCTATTGATTTTGAGGAATTATCAGAAAAAATAGGTAAAAAAAATCATTATGTTTTACGTCTTTATGGCTCTCTCATCAATGGCCAAAAAGCGGTAGTTACTCTTACGGGAATCCAGATTTTCTTTGATATACTTGTACCTGATAATGAAACTATAAATGAGTTTAGGATAAAAATAGATGAAATTCTTAGTAATATGATAAACATCTATAAAATAGAACATATTAAGGCCTTTCTCTTGCATGGTTATCATACAGAAAAAAAGTCATATTTACAAATTTTTATACTCGGTAGTGGGGATAGAAAGAAAGCTCTCCAAGCTATCCAAGATAACAATTTTGAAACCGCTTCAGATGATATGTTCTCATTCCACCGTAAAATAGCTAGAGAAAATGGAATTGCGATTTCTGGTTGGTCTATGATAAGCAAGTATAAATACAAAAAACATTCCTATTATATACACGATTTTCAGGTTTCTATAAATGATTTTCGACCGGTAGAAGATCTAAAAATAATAAGTAACCATTTTCTGATTTCAGCACTCATGAGAGATCGTACACTTATCCTTATATGGGATATAGAGACACAATCACAAGTGTTGGGCGAATTTGCTGAAATACATAATAAAGAAAATGTTGTATTTATAATTTGTATGACCTTACACTGGAAAGACGACTCAAGACCGTTAAAACAAATCTGTCTTGTCGATCTTGAAACTGCACCAGACCCACAACAGATAACAGTTGTATGTGGAAACCAGACAAATTTACTAAAAGCGTTTGCATTATGCTGGAAGGCCTTCCTCCCTAATATTCAATTCGGATTTAGTGATTCTGAATACGATTGGCTATTTATTATAGAAAGAGCTTGCAGACTTAATATTCTTGAATGGATGTGGAAGCAAATGACGGGAACCTTTAAATCATCTAAAGAAATTTAAAAATGGAACTTTTATGGGAAAGTAGAAGTAAAATCTAAAAATAGTTTTCAAATTAAAAAAGGCGCCACTGATAATAATGAGGAAGAAAACGATAGGGTATAGCCAGTTATAATTAAAATTAGTCCAGAGGATAATTATATTTCTACTTTTCTTAAAGTACTAGGATGTGTACCAATTGACGTATGTCCATGTTTTATGAAACTCTTCCCTCGTGCAGAAGTTGATAAAAAAAGTTCACTGGCATTTTATTTAAAACTATGTGGACTTAAAAGAAAAGCAGATATGCTATATAACAAAATGTGGAAAATCTATTCAAAAGCGAAAGAGAGTGTTTCTCTAAATAAATCACATCCTTCTACTATACAAAATATGTGTAAAGTAGCACATTATTGCATTATAGATGCATTGCATTGCCAGGAGCTTATGGTTAAGCAAAATGTAATTAATGACTATAGGGAGGTTGCTTCTATAGCTTATATATCTTTGTTTGATTCGTATTATCGTGCAAATGGGCTGAAAGTACGAAATCTTCTGGGTGCTTATGCTTTCAAGCGTGATATAGTATTTAGTACAAGGGTATGTAAAAATATAGAAAAGAGAAAATTTCCTGGCGCATATGTTTTTCCACCTAAAAAAGGTATAGAAATGGAAAGACCAGTAACGGGTCTGGATTTTGCATCTTTATATCCCAGCCTTATTATGACCTATAACCTCTCTCCAGAAAAAATTATATTAAGTCCGGATGAGGCTAATATTGTGCAGAATAATGGAAATAACTTGCATAAGATTGAGTTCCCATTTAATAACCGTATTATCCATGCTTGGTGTGTAAAACATGATAATCAATTCGAGAAGAAGGGTTTATATCCTATTGTATTGGAGGATTTATTCAACAAAAGAGTAAATCTTAAAGCACAACTTGCCTCATTAGGAAAGAAAAAGGAATGCTTTGGAAAAATGATAAATTCAGTTAAAGAGAAAGATAAAAAAATCCCAGAAAGATTAAATTTAGAACACTCATCTATATGCTTCAATTACGATTATTTAGATTCGAAACAAAAAGCTTTAAAGGTATATATAAATACTTTTTACAGGGAAGCAGGAAACTTAAAATCTCCAATCTTTCTTTGTGAATTAGCCGGAGGAACTACTTCAGCAGGAAAATACAACCTTAATCTTGTCGCTAAATTCGTAACAAAAAAAGGGTTTGGAATAAAATACAGGGATACTGATTCTTTGTATCTTTCCTGTCCAGTTAAGTATTATAAAAAATGCGATGAAGCCTTCTTCAAGAAAGAACTTTCTAAAGAAGCATACTGGACTAAAATGGTCAAAATTACTATGGATGTGATAAAAAAGTTACGTGATCAAGTTAATGAATATCTCAAAATAAAAAATAAAACATCTTATCTAAAAATAGCATATGAGGAGGTATTATTTCCCATTTGCTTTACTGGTAAAAAAAAATACTTTGGTGTACCACATGAAAAGGATATCGATTTTAGGCCAGATAATCTCTTTACGCGAGAGATTGATACTGTAAAGCAAGGGAATTCAAAACTCTTTAGATTTATTGGAAAAAAGATTATACAGGAGGCTATGAATATTGACAATACACGTACGATTCATGAAATTGTTGAAGATACTTTCAGAGAAGCACGAAATAAGGAATAGAATTTCAATGAATTTATTGTAATGGGAACATGGAAGCCAAAAAAAGAAAATCTTTGCAACATTCGCTTTATGGAACATATGAGAGAGAGAAGTGAGAGGATTCCTGATCCCGGTGAACGGTTTAGTTATGTAGTTGTGAAGGGCCCCGCCTTCGTGATAAGAAAGGCCGGTTAATAGCGCATAGAGTTGGCGATTATATAGAGTATACAGATATAGCAAAAGAGCAAAAAATGGAAATAGATATCAATTATTATTTAGGTAGTACGCTTGCAATGTGTACACGTTTTATCAATGAAGATGACAGGTATCAACCGCCTCCTTCACATAAGATTATGCAACTCAAAGATTCGGATGAGAAAGAAAAACAGATTGACACATATTTGCAAAAAGAAGCTAAAAAATGGCTTACAAAATATATTAAAGCCTTGAATTGATTAGCTGTACTATTCTATAATGTTAAGTATTCTTGGTTAGAATTGCCAGACTCCACTAAAATACTTATGTGTCTTTAGACACTAGCTCTGCTATACATTATTAATTATATTTTTTTGTATATAAAAAATACCAAAGTTTAAATAGATGTTCACCTAACCTACGTATCCCATAGCTAATCACTTTTTTTATGACCCTCCTTCGGGCCTGCGGAGCAATGGCACTTCGAGCCTATCTATATTCCATATATGTCTCACGAACCACATAACCACGATAATCAACAAAATAAGAAAAATATATGCTAATAGTGGTGACATTAAAGTGTTTGCCACAGCAGGAAGAGGCAAAGCCTCGAGACTAGGTCTCATTGCTTCTATTCCTCCTACTGAAATCTGAGATTGGGTATGATATCCTCACTAATTTTGTTAATGTTACTTTTTTCATTTATCTTAGGGCTAATCTCAGTACCAACTTTTGATAGTTCAGTAATCTTATTATTAGTTTGTGCTGAGATAGGGTGCTAGTCAAAATCCCGACAAACAGAATCCCGACAAAAAAATCCTGACGGTAAAAATCCTGACAAATCCCGACAACAAAAAATTATTGTTTATTTAAGTTAGGGTAAGATTAGGTGAGTGCATAGGTTAGGGTTAGGGTGTGCGCCGAGGTTAGAGTTAGGGTATAGGTGATTTTATATAGTAAAATTGCTCAACTAATACTTTTTTTGATTGTCGGGATTTGTTGAGATTTTTTGATTGTCAGGATTTTTTTGTCGGGATTATGACCTTTTGGGATTTTGACCCAAACCCCAAATATGTATATATGATGATATTATTATGACATTAATCACACAACAAAATATCACAATAATTACAATTTTAAAATAGTTACTTCTTATGTAATAGCAATAAATAAAAATTACAGCATCTAACCAAATGGGTATAAGCATATATAAAGTTTTTATACATATATCAATATTTTTTTAATTAGCATACATGCTACTACAAATAATTAGATTCAACCAATCAATCTCATAAAGGGTACTATAAACACATTTTTAAAAAAAAATTTATTATGTGCTCAACTGTGTAATTGTATAGGAGAATAACTGTAGAGATCTAATTTTTGAAAATTATTACAAATAAGGGTTTAAAAAAATTTTGTACTTAATACCCATGATCAAGTTTATAAGAAATATAATAATAATAAATTAGTAATTTAATATAAATTCAAATATGTAATAAAAGTATTTACTCCTTCTAATCTAATCACTAAATATATCTTTAAAAAACTTGCTTAAAATAAGTACTATGTTAGATATATTACAAAATAGCAATATTTTTACTAATATAAAAAATGTTTGCTTAGCCTTGTATAGTTACTTTATAAAGTTCTCTTCACTTTATAAGTTTAGAACTAACAAACCAAACAAGCTACTTGCTATAAATCTACAAATAAAATAGTTTATTGCTATTTTATTGTTTCAGTTAACAAGTGCAAAGATAGGATTATTCATATAATAAATTAATTTCTTATGATTCAACTTGTCAAATGTTTATAGAATCATTAATTAGTTAATGCAGAATTATGTATTCTTGATAATTAAATTTTGCTGTTATCTACAATTAAATAAGCAGGCTACTAAAAACTTAATTCTATAGTTATAGAGAAACAGTATCAGAAAATCAGATTTTTTGTGAAAATATAATAAAAAGAGTTATTATTCATGTATATACAGTCAAAGACTTAGAAATAGAAAATAGCATGTATATTTTATTAAATATTAAATAGTTTTTATAACATGGAATTAGGGTGTTATTTATTGGCTAATTTTTTGTAAATAGTAAAATTTACTATTCCTTAAATGATTATGATTATATATAAACACATATATATGCAATCTATTGGTATAATAATTTGGTACCCACCTTAGCTAAAAAAATCAGATAATAAATAACACTTCTCTTAGGCTTGTATAGTAACACTTAAATTGTACTAATAATGCAATTTATTTATTTTTTAATGAATTTGATATAACAAAATTTTAAACTGTCTGATTAATCATAACACTTTTATGTTTAATTGCTGATCCAGATAAGATCAGCACAATTTCTATATTAGAATTTGGAGCAAAATCTCTATGATGTAAACTATATACTAAAATCTGAGCAGAGTCAAATGAAAAGTATTTTTTTTATTGTTAACAACCAAAGCAAATTAATTAAAAGCTGTAGAGCTCATTGAGACGCATCTAATGGTGGTTAGTTCGTTCAAATTGGCTTAGTGGATACTGAGATATCACTAAAAAATAATTGGCTGCCTATATAAAATTTTTATATAAACAATGTTTACATAGAATTTTATATAGTCAGTAGTCATTTTTTAGCAATATCTCGGTATTTACCAGACCAATTTGGACGATCTAACCACTATTAGATGCATCTCAATGAGCTATACAACTTTTAATTAATTGACT